CTACTTATATATATATATATATATATATAGGTTATACTCCATAGGTTAAGACTAAACATCATATTAGTTTCCCTCGTATTCTTTAACCACAATTAAGATGCATTTTGGAGTATTAATATAGTATTAATACAAGGCTCTTATATATACTAATTCTAAAGCTTAAAATGCTGTTATTCTACAAAATAAACGGTCTCTCGAGATAATAAGAATTATTTAGACTGAATTATTTAATTGATTCCTCCTGTCTTCCATTTCAATTCTTTTGGCAATGTTTACTGCTTAATGGTGGATTCTTTATTAAGGACAAAGAAAAATTCGTCGTCATCACCTAATAGCTTTTAGGATATAACATTTAATACATCTTTTGGATCAAAAAGTAACCCGAAGATTCTAGACAAATAAAACGATGGTTTCCAGATATATAATGCTGTAGTAATGTCTATGTATATTTCTTTTTAGGTGTATTTAAGTACAAGAAGTGGTGCTTGGGTTATTCACCGAGTTGGACCACAAGGGATGCCGTTTGATGGTACCTATCTCACACGATTCTGGAATTTGTTGTGGCTTTATGGTCCTTATAAAATGCTAAGTGATTTAGTAGAAAAACAGTTAAACAAGAGATTCGATCACGCTGCTTATTGTCTGAAACCTAAACACCGAATCTTTGAACAACATCCGATGGTGAATGACGCCCTTCCGAACAGAATTCTGAGTGGTACCTTAATAATAACCCCAATATCAAAGAATTCACTGAAAATGGAGTCATTTTTGAAGGCAACGAAGAAGAGTATGCTATCGACACTGTAATTTTAGCCACAGGTTACAAAATTGGGTTTCCGTTTCTAGACGAAAAAATCTTGTCTTTACGGAACAACAAAGTGGAACTATACAAGTTTGTAATTCCTCCAAAGATACAACACCCCTCGCTTGCTTTCATAGCTTTAATCCAGCCAGTGGGAGCCATGTTTCCAATAGGAGAGATACAGGCTCGCTGGTTTGCTCTTATCATGGCAAAAAAGCTCAGCTTACCTCCACTGAAAGAGATGATGTATGATGTAAACAAGAAGATGGCTATGATGGACAGACGTTATCCACAAAGTCCTCGTTACACCATCCAAATTGATTGGATACCCTACATGGACGAGATTTCTTCTCTCATCAACGCCAAACCTAATCTATTAAATTTGTTTTTTACAGACATTAAACTCTTCTGGAATTGCTTGTGTGGTCCTTGCTTGCCCTACCAATATCGTATCCAGGGTCCACACGCATGGTCAGGTGCACGAGAAGCAATTTTAACTTATAAGGATCGAATTTTGGAATCGTTGAAAACAACTAAATACGGATCACACTAAACTGACACCTGAACATCATCATGGTGATGTCAGTAGACTTTAAATTTTTATAACAATGTGATGAGATACAATATATTTTGAATTTTTATAACAATGTATTGTGATATGATAAACTTTGAATTTTTATAACAATATGGTGTGATATAAAAAGACTTTGAATTTTTATAACAATATGGTGTGATATAAAAAGCTTTGAATTTTTATAACAATATGGTGTGATATAAAAAGCTTTGAATTTTTATAACAATATGGTGTGATATAAAAAGCTTTGAATTTTTATAACAATATGGTGTGATATAAAAGGCTCTGAATTTTTATAACAATATGGTGTGATATAAAAAGGCTTTGAATTTTTCTAACAATACTTTGTGATATAATAAACTTTGAATTTTTGTAACAATGTGATGCTATTTGTATTGATACATAGAACGAGATAAGCACATGATTGTTTCTCTATTGAGAGACCACTCTGTGTATTTTGGTTTTGGTGAATTATTTTGTGTATAATTTGATTGGTTTGTGTACAAGCACTTCACTGAAAACATCAGACTTTACAGCAAGAAATCGTTTCAAATGGTACTTCGTTTTCTAATATTTCTTATGAACGTAAGCTTAGTACATATAGTTTTAATGAACGTAAGCTTAGTACATATAGTTTTAATGAACGTAAGCTTAGTACATATAGTTTTAATCCCGTTTTTGAGTTTAAAAACTTACAAACTATACAAAGTTTTTTTTTAATTCATGCAAAAATTACACAAAAATATATGATAGGAGCTAGGACACGAATTTCAGTGGTGTATTGATAAAATGAACCTATACGAAGAGGGTGCTTTACTCCACAGCCAGGATGGTTCACGCTTGATGTTGGACAAAATGAACTAAACGTGTTTAGCTAATATTATGAACTTAGAGCAACACAGTGCAATCGGTAAACAATAAGCATTATACGAAATAATACAGAATAATTACTGTTGTCAATTAACAGCATAACCGCCTCGTCAAATACACAGAGTAATAAACTGTTACTTAGCAACAACTTCTGTCACAATCATTATTACAGTACGGACTTCACGACGCGTATAATAGAGTCGTTGAAATATGCAGACAAATTCTACCACCAATAGCTATGGAATATCGATGGGCACGAGACTACTTTCCGAAATTATGTTCCTAAGTAACTAACGTGATCGTTACGTAACAGTGATATTGAGACATCAATAACCAATGATTATGGATGTGACTAATTTTACTTCTAGCATTTGAAGCCCATTTTAAATCAAAGTATTTTACACTAAACGATTATGAGTATATTAAATCAAGTATTGTTAAAACGCATGAATGCAATATTGTTACGTCTCTGTTCGTTAGTTAATTTTCCGTAAAAATTCTTCCCGAAGAATTTTACCGATACAAGTCCTTTCTTAAATAAAACTGGTTTATTCTTTCTGAATACAACTTTGCGATACGCTTAATTTCAACAGTCGCTCTATAACAAACGCTATAATTCACAACGTACTTCTCACGAGCTCAACAATATTCTTACTCAATATTCTTACGTTGCTTCTTGGCCGGTCTTATATATACAAGACTACCCCAATCTAGTAGTCTCCCGACATTTCATGAAGATTCGAGAAGGAAGTGGCGTGATATAAGCGTCACGTGACCTGCGTTGTCGTAACACTGCCCCTTCCTCAGTATTGTTCGTCCCGAACAATAGGCACTTACATTAAACCAATAACAATTAACAATAACTTAATTAAATGTACAGAATTACAAACACAAAATTACATTTCAACAAAGTCTTTTAATTTTACTGGACGTATCTTCTTCCGTACTGGCCTCCGTCTCGTTGGCTTTTGCTTCATGTGGGGTTCATCTGCTTTATCAGGAAATGTCCTATCATCGGTAACAGTCATATCAGTGGTAGTAAATTCATCAAGAGCTTCACAGTTTCCCTTCTCAAAACTGA